AATAAGGATGTAGTACAGGAAGAAAGAATTATTTCGTAGAAAGAAAGATAGGGAGTGTATGCACCGACGCCATTGTGATCGATTCTGAGCCATGTCACCAAGAGTCTCCAACCATCGGTTACGAAAGTTACGCGGACCCTAACCAAGTAGTCTGCATCTACCAACATGGCTCAGACTAGAAGTTAGTGATTTCAAGCACTGATGCCACGTTTTGATTTGGCCACAACTTTCTTCCAATCAGCTCAAACACCGTTTAGCATTGTACGCCGTGATAATCGGTGTTCATGCATACGTGACATGTGACCCAACTATCTCAGTCGATAAAGATTCACAACCTCATCAACTGATTTACCTTCACTCCCTAATACCCTGAGTCTAACCTCACTATTACTTACCCGGTGATCCCAGCAGACGCCAGCAATATTTCTAAGGCATCTGTGGTCAAATACTAGTAGCTTAAGAGTGTCTTCTACTCTTAATGGCCATGTTTCGCTGCCGTAAATTAAAACAGAACGGACTGCCGCGCAGTATACTCGTCCTTTTATTGATAGACGGATATCTCGCCTTCGCCAAAGGTGACGTAAGTTGGCAAAAGACAAACGAGCTTTTCGAATCTGTGCTGAGATTTCGTCCGATACCAGCCCATTAGGGCTGATCAGACTTCCAAGATAAGTGAAGTTGTCGACGCATCCGACTACTTCCCTCCCTATCCTTAGTCCATATGTTGATGCAGGCTGGTCCTGAAGCTACAACATGCATTTAAAAGGGGAGAAACACATTCCAAACATTCTCGCATTGTAGTTTAGTGCTACCAAAAGACTGCATTTTATCAGCGTCTTCACCAAACAGGACTATATCATCTGCGTATTCTAAGTCGATAAGTGGACCTCCTGGAAGGAGATCAATACCTGAGAATTCAGTCGACGAGAATGTTATTTCTATCAGTTGGTCTATGATGAAGTTAAACAGATATCGAGAAAGTGGACAGTCTTGACGGACACCACTTGAGGTTGCAAAACTAGATGACAGTTCGCCATAAGCTCTGACTCGACTAGTAGTGTTTGAGTAAAGAGCCTTTACAAGGTTTATGTACTTCTGGGGTACGCCTTTCAATGACAGACACTGCCACAGAATCTCGCGGTCTACCGAGTCAAATGCTGCTTTTAAGTCAAGAAAGACCACCATCGTCGGACGCCGATAAGTATGCCTGTGTTCTAGAACTTGACGAATGGTGAATATGTGGTCGATGCAGCCACGACCAGGTCTGAAGCCAGCTTGGTTTTCTCGTGTTTGCAGTTCACGAGTCTTAGTTAGGCGTCTGATTATTATTGAGGCTAGTATTTTAGATACTATATTTGTTAAACTAATCCCTCTGTGATTGTCACAAGATGATTTTGATCCTTTCTTATATATTGGGACGATAAGTGATGGCGACCAGTCATATGGAATAACATCTAACTCCCAGATCTTAGCTAAAATATTAGTCAACCTAACCGCTAAAATTGGACCACCATCCTTAAAGACTTCTGGAGCCAATCCATCTGGACCAGCTGCCCTTCCTCATTTCAGATTAACTATAGGCTTTTGAACTTCTGCCAGAGTTGGGGGACCTACTTCAATGTTCCATTCACACTGTCTGGGAATGGATGGTAGTTGTAGAGTCGCTGAAGGCCAGCTGAACTGTTCCCTAAAGTGTTCCGCCCATCGTTCTAAATGTCTGGACTGGGAATAGACGAGAGTGTCGTCTTTTTCCGAAATAATCTCACTTACACTTGACTTATTAGTTCCAGTTCCTTTTATTAGTTTGTAGAGCTGTCTTGTGTTCCCTATAGCCGCCGCCTTTTCCATCTCTTTTGCTTTCGTTGCCCACCACTGCTCACGGTCGTTTCTTAAACTTTTTCTTAACCTAGATCTGATTTGTTGTCGCTCTTCATCATGTTCGGAACCTGATGGGACGAGTTTGCGAGAATCCATCAGTGTGATAGACTTTGAAGAAATCCACTGGTTCTTTGTAACTTTGTGGGTTAAGTCACCAATAGATTTCATTGCTGTTTCCACAGCTGTTTTCATATCTTTCCAAGCAACATCTGGGTCAGCCTCGTTTCCAGAACTACCTAAGTGTGAACTCAGTTGTTCCCGGAACTTACTTTTGGTTTTCTCGTTACTCAACTAAATTCTAATGGGTCTTTTTAATGTGGCTTTTTTGCGTCCAGTGAGGCGCAAGCAGATGCGTGCCCGTATTAGGGCATGGTCGGAGTCCAAGCAGGTACTCCCGAATGAGCGACAATCTTCTACCGACCCTCTCCAACGATGACTGATGGCAATATGGTCTATTTGAGTCCATCGTTGGTTTGGTGTAGGGGGTCGCCATGTTAGACGATGTCTCTCCTTATGCTTAAAATTAGTGTCAGTTAAAAACAAACGATTGTCTGAGCATAGTTGCAGCAGAAGATCACCGTTATCTGTTCGTTGTGCCGGTATACTAAAATACCCACCTAAATGCCTTTCTGTTTGGTTTAAACTACCTATCTGGGCATTAAAGTCACCTGCTAAGAGTACTATGTCTGAACGTTTAGCTTTCTGAAGAAGTTTAGATAGCTTTCTGTAAAATTCATCCTTCACTTCATCTGAGCTGCAGTCGGTGGGAGCGTAGTCAGAAACGACAAAAAGGCAACGACGTGTGTCCCTATCCTTCCGAGTTCTTACGGAGCCGTTTAGCCGGACAGCACATAGACGACTGTTGACGGGGATCCACTCTAACAGTGCTTGTTCGGCCCTCATGCTTAGTGCTATCCCTACACCTGCCAGTTCACGAGAACTGGCCATCGTGTCACCAGATACACGGAGAGTGTATCTCGTTGGCTCTCTGTTTTGTCGAGGTGAGGTCAAGTGAATGACCACACTGGGATCCTGTATGCGTGTTTCAGAGACACAGCACACATCAATGGTACGAGATTCTAGGGTTCTAGCCAAGGAAGCCTGTTGACCGATTTGACATAAGGTGCGTACGTTGAAGGCTCCAATGTGTAGTTTGGAGCGAGGTTTCAGTAGACCTGGGACAGTGTTTTGAGCACTATGGTGGTACTTGAGGAGGAAGCCGAAAGAGGAAATTTAGAGATGAAAGTCGATGTAGGAGGAATAATAGGAATTGAAGAGGGAGGTTGATTATGAATCCAATGGTCTTGAGTGCTGTTAGAGGTATGAGGGCGGTTATCACTTCCCGGTTGCCCACACCGTGGAAGGGTTCTTCTGGAGGTACCTGAAAAGGAACGCGGATTAGAAGTGGTCTTAGTGACCTGGGAGCGTGACCGCAGTGCCCAAGGGACAACTGCTTGAGGTCGGTCACACACGACCTTTTTATGGGCAATTTTTGTGTTAGCTCCGTAATTGTTGAGACCTTACCGCCGGAGACGGATATCCGTGGGATAAGGCGAGGTGTGCATTTTTAGGGTCGACCATTTCTAACCCCACCCCTCCTTGTGGGAAGGCAGTATCGCTGTCATTCTGGTTGTCAGAAGGAAACACCTTACTGCTGTCACACCTCTGTACAGTCAGCAGTACGACTTCGCCTTCGGACCTTAGGTTTGTTGCTTTTAGTCTTACCGCTCTTCAACCGACCTTTCTGACATGGTAGGACCTTGAGGAACAGTTGTTCCAGTCAGTATAGCTCGGTTGTTTCATCAAGATAGGCAAGCCCGACCACCACGTCAAGGTAGCGACAACGGTCGACTGTAAGAACTACCAAACCTATTGAACAGGCTTGACTTGTATACGTTTGTCAAAGCACTACGGTTAAATCAACAGACGGTCCTAGCTAAATCATTCAGCAGTTCATTCTCTATATGTTGAACAGTTCACAGATCCGTGTCAAGGTGAAGGACAACCAGCGCACATAAATTAATTGCATTCCATGGGTTGGCCCGTGCGATGGTGGTCTCAACTTCTCCTTTGTACCTACGTTTACTAATACAATTCTCTAATAACATCACTTGTGTTATACGGTTTTCAAATCAGTCATAGTATCTTGATATGATCCAGGTTAGGTGTTGATCACGAGGTGTGACTTCGAAGTTAGCTGTTAGCCACATCATTTCCGTCTAATTCGGGTGTGCATTTAATCATTCGAATTAGATCATTTACGTTAGTGATCTGCAATTTTATAACATTAGTATTATTTTCGTCAAAGCAGCACTTTCAGGATACTGGAAAACTAGAACTGCTGAGTCTCTGTTAATGACAGCATATACGAAAAGAAAACTTTGAAGACGTGATAACCTAGAAACGTTACCTCACTAGTTACTAGAAAAGAAAGATTTGTTAAGTCAGAGATCAAACACGAGCAAAAAGAAATAGCCCAGGATTTCGTAGGGACCCCTCTGCAATTATCTAAGTCCCTCTTAATGAATTTGAATGTTCTATAGCGATAGGAAGAAGAAAATGTTTTGGAGAAATGAAATATTCTGAGTGGCAATAAACGATAAAGTACAAGAACTTTATCTTATCACCAAGTCAAATAAGTACCGAAAGTCTCCAGTGATCTAACCTTATTTCTCATATACTAAAACAACGCACTAAAAGCTAAGAAATCTGTGGGTGCTTGCTTGTCTTTTGACGACTTCAAAATAATATATGGTTGAAGATGGCACGGGTATTCAGAGTGTGACAACGCTTTTACCAGTAACACCTTCTAATATAACTCGTACCCACCAAGGGAAATCGAAAGACAGAATCGAGGAGATCGGAAGAGTGTATTTGACGATTGTCAATACATCAGAATTGTCTGATCTAGTCTGGATAACGATTGCAGTAAATGTTGAGCACGGCGTTCCCACACGTGATCTGGTGCGGATGCCTGACCGAGCTCCTTCAGCTAGGTTAGTCCACTAAAACTAATCTGGTCAGCATCCAATGGCTAAAACTTACAGAGATATTCAGAAAAGACTATATGACTTCTTTCTTTTCAGTTTTATGAAATCGTTTATAGGGCTACTTCTAATGGACTGTGGCGCGCCATATGATTCCGTAGTTGCGTTACTTATGGATTTTTCGTGAGTTCGTTTGTTCATCTTTCGATTTCAAGGCATCTTAACGTCAGTTTAGGACAATTTAAGGTCACACGGGACAAAAGTAATTTTTCTTATTTATTTCATGAGTGTCTTAGCGAGATCAAAGCAGACGATTTATCTTGTGCAGACTAGCGTCTAAATCTCCCTATTTTCTGGAAATGTTTGTTCGTTTCGGGTAGATTTTAGGAAAGCCGTAATAGAAAAAATTGAAGAAGTTTTAAGGGAATGGTACAAAAACCTTGAAATTTTCCCCAAACCTGGGAAAATTTGGGTTTATCGCAATATTTCTCTAGAATCTTATAACACTGGGATTTTTCGTCGAAATACTCCAAAACATTTTAAAAAACTGACAAACTCTTCTCGGCTTTGTGGAAAACCACAAATTTTACCCAAAGTTTCTCTAAAGTAGTGAGATCGGGCTAGGCGTAGAATTTTATTGTTTGAATTCTATGTAATATCAGCGATCCATTTTTTCCTGCATATTGTTTGTTCAATAATTTTGGCGAATGCGCCATGGACCAGAAGGTTTTTTTCCAGGCTCTCCTTCATATTTAATGTTAGGGTTTTAAACCGAGATTCCTCTTCACCATCTCGTTAAAATTCTTAGTAGTACCGTTATCACCAGAACACTTCGGATGGTTTCTGATTTAGGATGTAGTGTTGTCTGTATCTGCGACAAAGGTTTACTCGTTATTGGAGAGTTTACCATTTTTATAAACAACTTGATGGCATCTACTCTCTCACATCAGCATCAGATTCAGAGATTACATTGGTAGTTTGGATAGTTGCAAATTTCCATTGATAAGACTTCATGTGTTCTTGGTTGCCTGAGTTTGCGCACATATTTCCTCAGGTTCTGGTATTTTGCTTCATATTTTAGCAAGTGCATAATGTCATATTTTCATCTAATTTATGTCAATCTTATATGATCATCATTAAGGTTTATATTTATAAATGCCACGTTTTGCTGGTAAGGGCTCTCCGTCGGTGAGTTGAGCTTTAACAACTACATCATGTAGCATACTAAGTGTAATCACTCTCTACTAAACTGTTATCAAACCGTTTTACTGTCTAAAGATGACTTGGAAATTGGACATATATCGGTATGGTAAACAAGTGTTTGTTTGTTTGTTTGCATCCTACTCTCTATTAAATTTCCTAGGGCAATCTATTTCTGTCAACCGGATATCTATTGGAATTCAAGCCGATTCTTGTAGTCAAAGATGCTTACTTTCACATTCACAAATGGTGAATATCTTAGGGTTGTAATTATAAATAAGATATTTGGTTTGGCGCTTCCAATTTCAATTGATATTGCTTTATCAGGCTGTTGAACCTCTCCTTGCATGTGATCGTATGCACGTAGATGTGGTTCTCTTAACTCGGCGAAAACAACGAAGATAAAAGTTTTAATGTTTAGATTTTTGAAGTGATGATCGATATAAATTGTAATGTCTTACCGAAAGTTGGGATTACTTTCGAGTGGTACATATAAAGGTTAGGTAGTATTTCTCTAAATTCATTATGATGTAGTTGGTTAGGTGATTTTTAAAAATGTATCACACCCGCTTATTCTTCGTTGTTATAGTATGATACTACTCCAGAAGACAAAATTAGTTTCATTCAGTTGGTTCGCTTCATTGAATTTGAATAAAGCCAAAACAATTGACGCAGAACAACATGGATTCATTATATTTCATGGTTTCCCATCTGCCGCTTACAACCATATATGTATTAAAATGTAACATTGATGTATGATATAATGTGCATCAATTGACATTGTTGACGAAATCGCAGCACGGATTCGAAAAGATCGCTTGGCTTTTGCCAACTTACGTCGCCTATGGCGAAGGCGAGATATCCGTCTATCAATAAAAGGACGAGTATACTGCGCGGCAGTCCGTTCTGTTTTAATTTACGGCAGCGAAACATGGCCATTAAGAGTAGAAGACACTCTTAAGCTACTAGTATTTGACCACAGATGCCTTAGAAATATTGCTGGCGTCTGCTGGGATCACCGGGTAAGTAATAGTGAGGTTAGACTCAGGGTATTAGGGAGTGAAGGTAAATCAGTTGATGAGGTTGTGAATCTTTATCGACTGAGATAGTTGGGTCACATGTCACGTATGCATGAACACCGATTATCACGGCGTACAATGCTAAACGGTGTTTGAGCTGATTGGAAGAAAGTTGTGGCCAAATCAAAACGTGGCATCAGTGCTTGAAATCACTAACTTCTAGTCTGAGCCATGTTGGTAGATGCAGACTACTTGGTTAGGGTCCGCGTGACTTTCGTAACCGATGGTTGGAGACTCTTGGTGACATGGCTCAGAATCGATCACAATGGCGTCGGTGCATACACTCCCTGTCTTCCCTTAAACTAAGAGATTAAAATCGCTTCATATCTTTCTTTCTACGAACTAATTCTATATTCCGGTACTGTATCCTTATATGCAATCTTTCTAATATATATTACCACCTTTAACCTAACCACTCCCATGAATCCGGTGTTCATCTTGCTGTGCTAACGAGGTATGGCAACTTGGACCGATGCATATATGTGCCTGGTCCTAAGTTGTAGCTGACTGACCGACTGATATCTATTTATAGTTACTATTGGTACTTTCCGTCATCGATGTCAGTCAGTCAGTCAGTCAGTTAGTCAGCTACAACGTAGGACCAGGCACATATATGCATTGGTCTAAGTTGCCATACCTCATTAACACAACAAGATCAACACCGGATTCATAAGAGTAATTAATTCAGTTGTGGTAATATATAAAAGAAAGATTGCAATAAGGATGTAGTACAGGAAGAAAGAATTATTTCGTAGAAAGAAAGATAGGGAGTGTATGCACCGACGCCATTGTGATCGATTCTGAGCCATGTCACCAAGAGTCTCCAACCATCGGTTACGAAAGTTACGCGGACCCTAACCAAGTAGTCTGCATCTACCAACATGGCTCAGACTAGAAGTTAGTGATTTCAAGCACTGATGCCACGTTTTGATTTGGCCACAACTTTCTTCCAATCAGCTCAAACACCGTTTAGCATTGTACGCCGTGATAATCGGTGTTCATGCATACGTGACATGTGACCCAACTATCTCAGTCGATAAAGATTCACAACCTCATCAACTGATTTACCTTCACTCCCTAATACCCTGAGTCTAACCTCACTATTACTTACCCGGTGATCCCAGCAGACGCCAGCAATATTTCTAAGGCATCTGTGGTCAAATACTAGTAGCTTAAGAGTGTCTTCTACTCTTAATGGCCATGTTTCGCTGCCGTAAATTAAAACAGAACGGACTGCCGCGCAGTATACTCGTCCTTTTATTGATAGACGGATATCTCGCCTTCGCCAAAGGTGACGTAAGTTGGCAAAAGACAAACGAGCTTTTCGAATCTGTGCTGAGATTTCGTCCGATACCAGCCCATTAGGGCTGATCAGACTTCCAAGATAAGTGAAGTTGTCGACGCATCCGACTACTTCCCTCCCTATCCTTAGTCCATATGTTGATGCAGGCTGGTCCTGAAGCTACAACATGCATTTAAAAGGGGAGAAACACATTCCAAACATTCTCGCATTGTAGTTTAGTGCTACCAAAAGACTGCATTTTATCAGCGTCTTCACCAAACAGGACTATATCATCTGCGTATTCTAAGTCGATAAGTGGACCTCCTGGAAGGAGATCAATACCTGAGAATTCAGTCGACGAGAATGTTATTTCTATCAGTTGGTCTATGATGAAGTTAAACAGATATCGAGAAAGTGGACAGTCTTGACGGACACCACTTGAGGTTGCAAAACTAGATGACAGTTCGCCATAAGCTCTGACTCGACTAGTAGTGTTTGAGTAAAGAGCCTTTACAAGGTTTATGTACTTCTGGGGTACGCCTTTCAATGACAGACACTGCCACAGAATCTCGCGGTCTACCGAGTCAAATGCTGCTTTTAAGTCAAGAAAGACCACCATCGTCGGACGCCGATAAGTATGCCTGTGTTCTAGAACTTGACGAATGGTGAATATGTGGTCGATGCAGCCACGACCAGGTCTGAAGCCAGCTTGGTTTTCTCGTGTTTGCAGTTCACGAGTCTTAGTTAGGCGTCTGATTATTATTGAGGCTAGTATTTTAGATACTATATTTGTTAAACTAATCCCTCTGTGATTGTCACAAGATGATTTTGATCCTTTCTTATATATTGGGACGATAAGTGATGGCGACCAGTCATATGGAATAACATCTAACTCCCAGATCTTAGCTAAAATATTAGTCAACCTAACCGCTAAAATTGGACCACCATCCTTAAAGACTTCTGGAGCCAATCCATCTGGACCAGCTGCCCTTCCTCATTTCAGATTAACTATAGGCTTTTGAACTTCTGCCAGAGTTGGGGGACCTACTTCAATGTTCCATTCACACTGTCTGGGAATGGATGGTAGTTGTAGAGTCGCTGAAGGCCAGCTGAACTGTTCCCTAAAGTGTTCCGCCCATCGTTCTAAATGTCTGGACTGGGAATAGACGAGAGTGTCGTCTTTTTCCGAAATAATCTCACTTACACTTGACTTATTAGTTCCAGTTCCTTTTATTAGTTTGTAGAGCTGTCTTGTGTTCCCTATAGCCGCCGCCTTTTCCATCTCTTTTGCTTTCGTTGCCCACCACTGCTCACGGTCGTTTCTTAAACTTTTTCTTAACCTAGATCTGATTTGTTGTCGCTCTTCATCATGTTCGGAACCTGATGGGACGAGTTTGCGAGAATCCATCAGTGTGATAGACTTTGAAGAAATCCACTGGTTCTTTGTAACTTTGTGGGTTAAGTCACCAATAGATTTCATTGCTGTTTCCACAGCTGTTTTCATATCTTTCCAAGCAACATCTGGGTCAGCCTCGTTTCCAGAACTACCTAAGTGTGAACTCAGTTGTTCCCGGAACTTACTTTTGGTTTTCTCGTTACTCAACTAAATTCTAATGGGTCTT